AATGTATATGCTTACTTTTTCTGGGATTGTAAGGCTGGTAACGCAAGTACATCTGCCAAATGTCCCATCGCGACGCTTCCCGAGAAAGAGACACATTGAACCCTCCTTTCCGCAGCACAGACTCAGGCGTGCAACCCATGTTCTTGCAATGCGCGACAATCGTTTCCGCGAGTTCCATCGCCAGCTTAGTCTCATGAGCCATGTATGGGCCACGCTTCATTGATTGTGGCAGATCGTCTTGCCTTTTGCCCAGTGCCTTTGTGCTCGTGACAGGCCGTGCAGTGGGCAATTCAGATGCACCATCCGCGTCCACCTCCGAACCCTCACCATCTGCTGAAGGCCTTTGCGCTGGTGGCTTGCTCTTCGCTAGGCGATGCAGTTTTTGTGCAAACTCTTGAGAAGCACCTTCCGCGTCCGCCTCCAAACCCTCATCAGAAGCACCTTCCGCCACCGCATCTGAACCCTCTCCGTCTGCTGAAGGCTGTTGCGCTGGTGGCTTGCTCTTCGCAAGCCGACGTAGTTTTTCTGCAAAGTTTTCGCCTGGGCCTGAGCCCCCATTGTCCTTTGACTTCCTTGCAACTCGTTTACGTTGTCGACCCTGTGAAACCTGGTCCTCTCCCAATTCGTTGCTGCGATTGGCACCCAAAGGCCCCTTCCGACCCTTTTTCTTGCTCATTCGACGCCTGTCCTGCTCATCCTCTTCTCATCATCAGCCTCCTCTTCCGCGGTATCCATCTCATCATGGCCCCGTCCCCGGTTTTTGCGAGCCCATTCACGTTGACGTGCCTTCGCCTCCTCAGTTTCGCCGAAGTCGCTACCTGACCCGCAAGAACTCGATCTATAGCCCTTTTCGCCATCTTGATCTGGTTCGGGCATTGACTCTGCTTGGTTGTTGTCCTCCTTTGGGCCGCCTGACTCTTTCTCCCTGCCTGACTCTACTTCAACAGCTTCCTGCCCAGACTCCTTTGCACCGGCAGACTCATCGTCCAGCTCATCAGCTCTTTCCTGGGCAATTATCTTGGCCACCTCCCACCATGCCTCCACCTCAGCAAGATCGTGTAACGCCCGAGGTTTCTCTGTGGTATATCCTGGGGGGAGTTGCTCCCATTCATGACTGGCGCGATTATACCAACAAATGTATGGGGCATACGCAGCCCAATCGCCCGGCCCAGCCAACCCAATCCTTGATCGATAACCTACATAACCCAGGTCCTCGATAGCTCTGCCAATACGGCAGAAATAGTTGGTCCCTGGATGTGGAACAGCTGATGCTGAAGGGAGGGGAAGCCCGTCATCCGACGGCATCGTGGAATCAAATTCCTCATCACTGGACGCTGGGTCCGGGGTCAAGGGCTCGCGAAAGTTCAGCGCAGGGTCAATAACATTGAGGGGGGGGATGTCCGGCCAGTTACGTATTTTGTAGAGGCCCCTTGAACGAGGAGCGGGCCCTGTCGTGCGGGAGAGCGGTGAAGATGGAAGAAAACCAGAAGAATCATTGCTGTAGAATGCATTGTCAGTGCCATGTCACTATGCGTAATAAAGGAAACATACGTCGGAATTAGAGTCGATTTGATCGCGAAAGTGGCGTCCGCTGATGGGGAAACTCTTGATGAGGCAGATCTAGCAGAAATAGGTGAACCGAGCGGGAGGAAAGGTCCAACATTCCGACATACATTAGCGTAGCCTGGAGACCCAAAGGCAATACCGAAGTAGCAGAAGCAGAGGCATTTGAAGCCCTAGCATTCGGGTTTCTGCTGTAAAAGATGTCTTGGGCAGCGTCCGGTATGTCATCCTTGCGTCTGCGGACGTTACAATTCAGACAAAGACGGCGGGGTCGAATCTGACGTCACTAACCGATTATCGCGAGAAACAAGGTTCTGGGTTGGCGTGGTATCTGGGTCGTCCACGGGCATAACCCTGTAGGCTCGTCAGCTAAATAAAGATGAAAAAAGCTCAGCGAACAAGGAGTTAACGCTGGTGAGACCCAAGTGAAACGACAAAGAGTCAAATTTCACAAAGGCAAGGATACCCCGCCACAAGGAGTCAAACGGTATATCCCCTGGGAGAGATCCACGCACTCTTTTTGGCGTCCGTAGGCACAGATTGTTTTGGGGATATTGGTTTTCGCAGTGTCTTGATGTTCGGAAGTACTGAGAGGACCCAAAGTCTTCGTGACCGAGCTGAGTCCATGTTGGTCGACCATGGCGTCTGCTGTGGTGGAGGATGGTTCATCCTGAGTGGGTTGGGCCTCAACCACGGCCTTGATGCTAGTGTCGGTGTCTGTGACGCTACAGCACACATTGAGATTTTGACAAGGTGGCCCAGAACACGCACATACCTTTCATTGTCTGTAGTCACAGCTGACTTCTCAGGCTCCGAATTCCGCACAGGCGCTCTCTTGACAGCTTTGGAATTTTTTCTGATGGCAGACATTAGTAAGGATCCTTGAATCCAATGTATCAACTTACTTTTTGGAACGACGAGGGCGCTTGACTGCCGGAGTCGATTCGGTGTTGACGATGGCTTCGACGCTGGCGTCGCTTTTTTTCTTGGAGCGAGTAGGAAGACCGACGGCCTGGGAGGCTACGGTGTCGGAAACTGCATTGCCGCTAGCTTCAATGGCGGTCGCACTATAGGGAAGATTGAGAAAAGAACGTGCAAAAAATTAACCACGAATCACCTCTCAGCCTCCTTGGTTGGGGCAGACTTTCCAGCTCCCTTCAGATTTTTTTGAGCGACGTGGCAAACTGTGGAGGCAGCGTACTCACTCTGGTGCTTGCCCGGCCTTGGCCTACAGGGGGCAAAAGGACGACTGGTACCAATTTACGCGCACGAAGCTGACGAGGTTCAGACATTTGAGTTGTAGCAGTTGTAAACCTGGTTATGGTTCAAAGTTCGAATTTTTTCTCGGTAGTTTGGGTGAGAAAAGTGTTCCACTGTTTCTTAAATATAATCCATATTCTTCAGTCCACTCTAGGCCAGGTACGGACTAGCCCAATCAGGATTTCCCTAATGTTGTTGCGAGTTGTGGGTCTCAGGGNTAAATTAACCCATTGATCCACCCGATTACTATTGACCTGCAGAGTTAGCCAAGTTGACCACAAACTGGCTGAATGAACAAATCACCTTCGAGAGACAGGCTTCACATTGAGAGGTTGACGTGTGAGGGTGTCGGGCCACAGGCTACCCGTGGCGTCCAACGAATTCGTGGCGTAAGGAATTCGTGGCGAACCTGGCGGCAACCAGGGAAGCCCCCAGCACTAGTACGTTACCCGATTACATAAGTTTTTTCTATTATTTTTCAACCCAACGTACCAAGCGTAAGGTCAGCTCGCACATTCCAAGATGATGGCTTATGCTTAAGTCGATTGACGATCGGAATTGACTGCGTGATTGTTTCAACAGAGCCATTAAGTATTATTTGGTGGTTGTTTCGTTTCAATCCAACGTACCCACCCATGAAATAGCTAATGTTGGCATGCGTGCGCACCGTATCCCGGTTTTGGCCAGTTGAACAAACCGGATTAATGGTAGGAATAGACTGCGTAATTATTTCAATTAACCTATGGACGATTTTGTCATGAAGCCTACGTACCAACCCATGAAATAGCTCAGGCTGGCCTGCGTGCGGACCATATCCCGGTCTTTGCCGGTTAAACAGACCGTATTAACGGTAGGAATAGACTGCGTGATTGCTTCAATTAACCTATGAACATTTTTGTTATCAAACCTACGTACCAAGCAACGAAAGATCTTAGAAGTTTCGATGACTGAACCATGCGAGCGGGGTGACCGATGTAGTTACTATTTGAACGAATGAGCTCGGCGTTGTGGATTGAGAATGACGAAGCGAGGATTGCAGCGACAAGGAGTCAAACCGCTCAAGTGAAAGGCCGACAGGGAGTCAAAGCCTGGACTGGTGGGTACCACTTTTATCATATAAATAAGGTAACTGCCTAGAGCTCCCTGTGTATAAGTCCACAGTCTTTATGATAGGAATCATTCCAGTTACCATGTCTATTCATTAGGTGATTTTCATTAGTTATCTGGGCGATATCATGGTGATTTTCATTATTTATCTGGCCGATATCATTGCAATTTTCATTAGAAACCTGGGCGATATCATTGGAAATTTCATTAGCTACTTGGTCAATATCATTGTGATTTTCATTAGATACCTGGGCGATATAATTGGAAATTTCATTAGCTACTTGGGCAATATCATTGCGATTTTCATTATTCATCTGGCTGATATCATTGCAATTTTCATTAGAAACCTGGGCAATATCATTGGAAATTTCATTAGCTACTTGTGGGCAATATCATTGGATTTTCATTAGCTACTTGGTCAATATCATTGGATTTTCATTAGATACCTGGGTGATATCATTGGAAATTTCATTAGCTACTTGGCCAATATCATAGTGATTTTCATTAGAAACCTAGGCGATATCATTGGAAATTTCATTAGCTACTTGGGCAATATCATTGCGATTTTCATTATTCATCTGACCGATATCATTGCAATTTTCATTAGAAACCTGGGTGATATCATTGGAAATTTCATTAGCTACTTGGCCAATATCATAGTGATTTTCATTAGAAACCTAGGCGATATCATTGGAAATTTCATTAGCTACTTGGGCAATATCATTGCGATTTTCATTATTCATCTGACCGATATCATTGCAATTTTCATTAGAAACCTGGGTGATATCATTGGAAATTTCATTAGCTACTTGGCCAATATCATAGCGATTTTCATTAGTAATCTGGCCGATATCATTGCAATTTTCATTAGCAACCTGGGTGATATCATTGGAAATTTCATTAGCTACTTGTGGGCGATATCATTGGAAATTTCATTATTCATCTGGCCGATATCATTGCAATTTTCATTAGAAACCTGGGTGATATCATTGGAAATTATCATTTGCAATTTTCATTAGCTACCTGGTCAATATCATTGCAATTTTCATTATTTATCTGGATATCATTGCAATTTTCATTAGAAACCTGGGCAATATCATTGGAAATTTCATTAGATACCTGGGCGATATCATTGGAAATTTCATTAGCTACTTGGGCAATATCATTGCAATTTTCATTAGAAACCTGGGTGATATCATTGCAATTTTCATTAGAAACCTGGGTGATATCATTGGAAATTTCATTAGCTACTTGTGGGCAATATCATTGGAAATTTCATTAGCTACTTGGTCAATATCATTGCGATTTTCATTAGTTATCTGGCCAATATCATTGGAAATTTCATTAGCTACTTGCCCAATATCATTGTGATTTTCACTAGAAACCTGGGCGATATCATTGGAAATTTCATTAGCTACTTGGCCAATATCATTGCGATTTCCATTAGAAACCTGGGTGATATCATTGGAAATTTCATTAGCTACTTGGCCAATATCATTGTGATTTGAACATCAGGCACTGCCTTCAGGGTCCACTTCAGGGTACATCCCAAAAGGGAAATATCACCTGGTTTGACTAAAAAGTGAAGAAAACCAAGAGGAGAATGACTTTACCTATCAGGGTCCATGTAAGGGGATGTTGGGATGATGGTCACATGACCAATTACCAAAAATGGTTAACAAAGTTTACTGATAGACTATAAAAGACTACAAAAGTCGGACTTGGACTACAAAAGCTTGGACTTAAGGTTATCCTGACTACAAAGTTTGTAGTGTTCATTTTTTCATTAGAAAAGTTTGTAGTGTTGAGCTTTTTCATTAGAAAAGTCTGTAGTGTCCAATTTTTGAGACTACAAAAGTTTGTAGTGTTGCGCTTTTTTTTATAGAAAAGTTTGTAGTGTCCGCTTTTTGATACTACAAAAGTTTGTTGTTGACATGTAGTTTATGGTGTCCTTGGCCCTATCTATGTTATGGGGATGATGTTGAAGGATTGCAATCATATTGCCAGTGCTGTAGCATTACTTTAAGGGTTAATGCTGACACATAGATCTGGGTTGTGGTCACTTGAACCATAGGATTTACACATCTTATGTGTGATTGTTGTTTTAAAGTACCTAGAGAGAAAAAAACCAGAAGTTAAGGTCAAGTTGAAGAGCTAGGACAAATCAATTGACCTTTCTGCTCCACAAAAAGTCACAAAATGCCAGTCTGAACACCTTGTGATCATCTATGCCCCATTCAACTACATTTTTGTTTGTGACGTAGATGTGCATGAAAAACAGTGGAACCAAGGTGGAAAGCCCAGAGTGTAATGTGATTGCCTGTCAGCTGAACACACCCTGCATTCAAGCTGGAACAGTGTGGCAGGTCACTTAAATGAAAGTGCATGCAAAAAAAGAACTCATTATAGATGAAAACGCACTGCAGAATGATGGTCCAGTCGTCGACCCCAAATTCAGCATTGAGTTCAGTCTTGACGCTGTAACTCATTACCTGGTGAACGAGTCTCAGAGTGGCCACAGCATCTCATGGCAATTCCTACTTGGCGTTTTTGAAACACTCTTGCTTCTTGTGAACTCATAGTATCCGATACTGCCATACCAATTTGGAGAAGAAAGAGAATGCAGTGACTGATCTTATTGATACTATTTTTTGTGAGATTGAAAAAATCTTGGGAGAGATAGATGAAGTGGCAGGGGATGAAGATTCAAAGGTCAATCAACATAGTGAATCCCAAGTTGAAGGTCCACAATGTCAGCTTCCTTCAGTAATTTACTCATCATGTTATCAGAGATCATCAGCAAATTATCAGCCTCAAATCAAAAACACTGTCTCTGAACATGTTCCCCAAGCTCAAGGTATGTAGGATCATTGTCTTTTGACTTTAAACTCATATTATCAGATGTCACTGAAGTGGCCTTGATACTTTGAGTGTTGAGATGAGAGACCAAGCCCCATTCCCAAAGTGAATCTGGGTATTCTTTATAAAAGTTAGTTTTAATGTTCAATATTTTGCCCTCTATTGACCATCCACCAAGATGAAGACAAAAGTCACCACCCCTCTGACCTCATTACAACCTCTCTTTTAAAAGAATATGGTTTAGTATTCAACAAATGTTGGAAACTGATGACTTGTTGTAGCTGCCAGGCAAGCTTGCCCTTATATTGTGTTCCAAAGCACCTAATGGCATCACAACTCTCTTGCTGGGACAACTCTATTGGTAAGCTGGCCACAATAACCACAAATCACATCTCAGTTCCCACTATGAAAACTGGCTCTGCTGCTGCGAACTGATTCAATGACATGATTGCAAAATCTCTGATCAATAGTGGGTATGTAACTTCAAAAGGTGATATTCTGGATACCCAGAAGCTCCAGGGTGGGTAAAAAAGTTCTGGTCTCTGCCTCATAAACCCATCAAGGGAATAGCTGTATTTGATGGCTGGGTTGATGACTGTGGCCATGCACTGAGAAACAAGCATGGATTTCAGAAGAGGACATCTGCCCTTACAGAGTGCTCAGTCCAAACCTTCTCAGAGACCTTTGCACAATTCTTCCCTGTTTGCCCCACTCAGAAGGCAGAAGAGGAACCAGAACAGATAGCTTGTGCATCTATGGACCTTCTCTCTGCTCAGAAAAATCTTTAGTGCTATTTCAGATTCCATCACTCATAAAATCTGCTGATCATCATATGATCCTCCTTATTTTCTTTGATTTGGGTATAGAAACTTGGCTTGGGCAATTCAATCACTCTACCCTGCACTCTCAATTGCCTCAATGCCCTGCAGCAGGGAAAAGATCCACACCAAAACCTTATACAAGATTGGCAAAGGCCAATCTCATTCTCATTTGGGGAGATATGAAAGCTCTGAGTGTTAGTCACCATTCAATCCACCATGCAATTATGAATGCTACAAAGTGAGTTACTTTCAGGATACCATTTCTAATGACCTCCGACTGCCAACTAATGAATATACAGAGGTCAAGCACTTTGAAAGCCATTCAAGTCACTTACCTATGTAAGGAGTATAATAGTGAATTTACCAGATGAGGATGGGGAAGAGGAAGATGTGGCTGGGATTTTGACAGAGAAGAGAAAACAATGATGAGTAGAAACTTAAGTACAAATTACATAGTAAGTAGTGAATGAAGGTTCTTGTGCAAATCCTCTTGGGTGCCTGCATGCTACCATCATCTTGGTTCACAGAAGAATCTCTTCAACACTTCGGATTTGTCAAGAGCTTCATTGAGAAATCAGGTCATGGCATAGATGAAGAAAAGTTAAGCCAGCAGTTACTCACAAGGACCGAGCTCAAATGAAGATCAGGCTTCTTGATAATGGGGACAAGGTCCTCGGCACCAGAATCTGGCCCAGTTGCAGAATCAGAGGTTGGCATAGTTGGTTCAGCAATGACAGTCAAATCCTCAGCTCTGGAATTGGGCTCATTTTCCAAGTTGAGCTTGGCAGGAGCAACAGCACCCCTTAACAGGGGTTGTTTTAGACTCGAAGTACAGATATTGGGAGCCTGAACATTGTGGTGCATTAATGTGTAGGTTAAACTTAAGTTTAGGTTCAATGTCTGTGATATTGCATAGTCAGTGATCATATGAATTAGAGAGCTGTTATAAATGAGCTTACAATGGGGCTGGAAGAAGGGTGAATAACAAAAGTTATGTGACTGGCACTAGTTTGACACTGTAGCGAGCGATGATTGGATGTATCGGGCATGGCATAGATTTGCAGAGGCCTCTCTAAAGCATCCTAGCAAGGTCAAGGCCACAACTCCATGTAAACCATGCATGCCACGTCGACAGCAACTTTCAGGCCAATGAACACCCACATGCCAGGACAACGAGGGATGGTGACAATAACAATGCCACGGACAACCACCCACATGCGGATGAACACGACCCCCCCACACACAACCATGACTGCCAAATGGCAACATTGAGCACCCATGGTTGATGACACCCATGCCCAGAACTCAACAACACCGACCCACCACCCACAAACATCAGCCCCCACTGACCAACAATGAACTGGGACCCACAAACCAGCACCCACACCCACCCTCCAATGTTAACGATGCCCACCGCCCATGGAGTCAACGTGGCACCGACAAACCACAGCCCAGTAACATGAATGCCTGCATGCCACGACAACAGAACACCCATGGACAACAGCACAAAGGCCCATGGACAACGACACCACATGGACGACGTGCCACGTCACCAACACGACCGCCCATGAGCAAGGCCGACTGTCCACAAATGGAGATGGACAACGGAAACGGGTGACGACGAGCCCAGGTGAGTGAGCTCCATCACTTTCCCTCCCTCCATTACTCCCTCTCCACCACTCCCTAGCCCTCCATCATTCCCCTTCCTCTCCACACTACCCCCTCCTTCACTCCCCTCCCCCTCACTCTCCACTACCACATCTCCCCACCACTTCCTCCATCACTTCCCCCCTTCCTTCACCACTTTTCATCCTTCTCCCCCCTTTAAATTAAATGTAGTAATTAAACTTGATGTAATTCTATTCAATACAACTTGTTTTCACTGGTCAAATTTACCTATCATAAGGAATTCTTAGCATTAAATCACTTCATAAGTTCTCAGAACAAGGTCTCAGTTACATGGCCTTGGGCTAAAGATGGAATTTTCCATCTAGTTTAGCACATGTAGTCCTCAGGATTCCTGGGGACTTGACAGAATTTTTACTCCAACTCAAAATTACCAAAATTGTAGTGCAGTCCTGCAGGATTCCTCAGGATTCCCCAGGATTCCCCATGATTACTCTCAGTCCTGCAGGACTCTGTGGGGGACTGAGAAGTACTGATTTTGTGGTGTAAGACTAAGGCTGTGAAGTGGGACTTGGATGAACTTGAAGGGCTTGAGACCTGAGACTGCAGATGTCATGACATTGAAAATAAAAAGAATTATCCTTCTGCCTTAACTCTCACCATTCTCTTAAATCTTTTGCAGTCCACTAATTTCTTTCCTCAGCCTCCCAGCAAAACTGTTTTCATAGAAAACGGTGCAGATTTGCATGAGTAAATGAGTATACAAGCCAGGTGTTGAACATGAGGCTGTGGCTATGTTCCACCCACAGCACGTTTTCTTCAAGTTGGCTTCTTTCCTTTCACTTTTCATTCCTTCCCTTTCACTTTTCTTAGTCTTACTTTAGAGCCTTGCCTTGAAGCTGACCTGTCACTTCTTCAATGTCTGAGATTCCAGAAGTTCTTATCTGGGAATGGCTTTTGAACAGAAAAAGATTCAACAAGCATCTTTGTATGGCTATCTATCTAGCTGAACATTGACCTAACAATAACACAAGTACTAGTCTACCTGCTCATTTCACCCCTCGCATTTTCCATTGGATCTGAAAAATGAAGTTATACCACTATAACTGCTACAAAAGGTAGTTATAACTCTATACTAACAAAGGCAGCACTCCCTCTCCCTAGGTGGGTCTCAGCTCAAAGGCAACACTTTGCTGGAAATTGCTACTGAGGATTTGTGGGACTTAAGGGGCAGTTGAGTGCTGAGCTTTCCTGATTTGAAGAAATGGCTTGACAAAAAAGATCGTGAGGGAGAGTTGAAGAAGCGTGATGTGAAGGGGAAGAGGAAAGCTCCAGACAGTCCCAAGAAGAACAGAGATAAAGATCGACTGGTAGTGCAGAGAAAGCACAAGAAGCTAAGGCAGGCAAGGGATTCATATGAGCAAGCTTCTGAGTAAGTAGGATCATGACTTTTTTCCTTTTTTTTTTTTCAGAATATGCTTTGAATTTGAATAAACTGATTTGTACAATAGTTTTACTTCTTTTGTCAGATCTACTTTTCTCTTTGTTTCAATGGTTACATCTCTTGTATGCCAGCACTGGATTCTTGTCTGGTTATTAATCTGGTTTTGTCTAGTTCCATCTGCATCTGCTACCTATCTAGTGCCACTTCAGTCACCCATTTTGGGTACCTATGAGGTTATCCAATTCTTTGAATTAGGGAACCTTAGTGGTACCCCATTCCAGAGTGGTATGACCCTCATACCAATTCCATCATACCATGGTATGGATGCCACATACCATTCCACCTCATACCATACCATACCATTCCATACCATACCATACCATTCCATCATTCCATAGCTGTCACAGGGTGTCTGGGGTCCTTTTTACAAAATATGAAAATTATTTCTCCAGGCTGTAATACTGATCCATTGGGCTCCATTTTTTGTGGACTGGTTCTTCAGATTTCTTCTGACATTTTAAACTACAGGTGGAGGCTATAGGGTGAACTTGATCCTTTGAAAATTCACTTGAAAATTAGCTTGATTGGGCTTTATCCCAGGGTTTAGCCATTTTCACTGTGGATAATCCATCACAAGCCACTTAAAAGTGTATATCTTGCCAGGCCATTTATATTCATGACAAATAAATTAATGTTGTATCCATCACAATGGCATGGCCTCTGAAGGAAAACAAGAATTTTGCAAGACTTTATTTATTGCAAAGGCATGAACTTCAGCCAAATTACTACCCAAGGCAAGGATGCCTTCTTCAGATAGAATATGTTCAAAATTTGCCATTTATGAAAAAGTATGGGGTCATTCCATAGGAATGGGATCATCAAAAAACTTGGATTTGGAATCTCCTCATATCTGCCATTCAGCAGAGCTGGCATTGTGGGGAATTTTGATTTGAACATTTGAACACAAGCAGGCCAAGAATTCTAATTACCAGCTTCAAGGTATCATTATTAAATATAGCTATTCTAATTTAAATCAAAATTCTGTCTTTCATACAATTAATCAGGGATGGTGAAGAAGTCCATGACATTGACAGCAATATGAACAAATGCTATGGACATTCACCTATGAGGGAGTAACTTGGGAGATGCCCTTGGAACAGATTGCCAATTCCTTATCCCACATGTCTTCAGAATCATACAATAGAGATGGAATCATACCATGAGTATGGAACCATACCATATCATGGGCATGGAATCATACCATGAGTATGAAATCATACCATACCATGGAAATGGAATCATACCATGAGCATGGAATCATACCATACCATGGCAATGGGATCATTCCATTGGGATTACAGAGATTTGCTTACAACACCCCATACCATGGTATGGTATTGCACCCCTATACCATACCATGGTATTGCACCCTTATACCATACCATGGTACTCCACTCCATACCATACCATGTTGGTTGATGTTTGAGGTGCTGTTCTCAGGATCCAGTGTGAATTTCTAAATATGGAAGGTGTGGCTATGCTAAATGAAAAAGAGATTGATGGGATAGATGCTTAAAATATCACAGGAACCATAATCTATGCAGAGGAAGGCAGAAAACCCTGTCCATTTCCAAATATTCCATTCAGCACTTTTAGTGATGCAATACAATCAATATTTGGCTCCAATATTTCTTTGGCTACTGTTCTTGCAGTCTTGTTCACCTTATTTGAAAATCCAGATTTATTAAATCTTCATTTTTGTCAACAAGAGCAGATATGTAATGATGAATACAAGTCCAAATGACAGGATGGATAACTGCACTAAGCACTGCACTAATGGACAAACTTGGAAATAAGAGAACTGAAACTTTATTCTCTGAGAATGAACTTGCACGAGAGCCAGATCAAAAGACAAAGGTTGCCCTTCTTGCTGGAAAGCTTGACAAGCTAGCTGTGTGTTCAAAACTCTCAACATTTGATGAGAAGGGAAATTATAAAGGAAAATTACTCCCTCTATCACATAGCAAGATTGAACCAGCTTATGTCATTTGTCCAGCCTCATTTGCATGTCAAACACTAGACTGTAGTCCAAGATCATTGCGTCAATCCACTAAAACTTGTGACATACCATTGGTTACTTTGATCAAAGGTCAGACAGTAAACCAACATGTCCCTGTGCTCACTGGAAAGTGTCTGAGCTGTAAAACATTATATGCAGCTGATCATGAAAGATTTGAAGATACATCGAGTGTTCAAAACACTTTAAAACAAGTCTATGTTAACTCAGCCAAATATTTGAAAATTGGCCAATTAATCAGGGCTGATCGTGGATTTGCAACAGCAGTCATAAATGCTATGTATAACTTCCATGCTTCAGCATCTGCATTTGCAGAATACTGGAATAATACACATGGAACCAAAGAAATTTCAATTACCCATGCTCATGTCTGGCAAGCCTTTGTTCAACAATCTGTTTGCACAACTGCTGAGGAATCTGGAATTGATGCTGAATTTGATGATGGATTAAATATCAAAGAAGTTACTACCCAGGCATTTTCACTTTTGGGAGAAGATGGAATTATTAGAGCTTCAGAGAAACATGCATGCAATGAATGCACTCAAAAATGCTAAGAGACAAGTGATGTAGTTTTCAATAACCCAGCAGCTGTTGTTGGTGTTGATGAGATGGATACTGATGATATCCCAAATATAAGAATGGTTGTTCTTGATGGTATAGTCATGGGTCCTCAGGTGAATAATTTTAGAATCTTTCTACTGAGTTCATTTTTTCACAATAATTTTTTAGCACTGTGCATATGACAATTGCACTAATGATCTCTCTCACTCTCGCGGTGGATCACTATGTGATATATGTCACTTAGTTCTTAGTTCTCAATGCTTGGTTCATGATTGTAATGACAGAAGACTAGAAAGCACACATGCATGTCAACAGCACCAAGCAGAGTGGCATAAACATGCAAAAAACAGTAAATGTCACAACCAAGATGGAGACTGCCAAATGCTACAATGCCCAGGAGAGAATAATCCTTGGGAGCCTAATGGCAGGGGACCAAATCCCCAACAACATGATGATCCAAATGCATAACCAAGACCAGCTCCAAATTACTTCTGTGCAGGTAGATTCTATTGTGTTGAAACTATCTGTGCACCTTGTGGTGTTGTCATTGCTTGGACAAAGTTTGATAAATCAGAATCACCAACAAATATTTTGAACTTCCTAGGAAAAGTTTATCCAACAGAAGAATCAAGGCCTGATTATATTTGTATTGATAAAGGTTGTCAAGTGTTTGCAACTGCAGTAGCAAATGGAAATTGGGATATTTGGAAAAAAACTACTTGATTTATTGTGGATGCCTACCACTATATCAGTCATCGGGTGTTAGACTTTCTATGCTGAAAATATTGTAATCCTTCACCTGGAGATGGATCTGCTCCAAACCTGA